AGGCCCACGGGTCCCAAATCTTGTTGTGATTGTCTGAGAATTTCGAAAGGGAATTCGGGAAGAAATGCTTAGGAAACCCCTTTAAGCGAAGCTCCCTCCTTAGAACAAGCAGGCTCAGACCCACTCCTCTGTTGTCGGAGGAGTGGGCCAATAACCTACTGAGATGGCAAAAAACAATTCCCTTCCTCTGTTGTCGGGGGCCGTAGGATGAAAAATCTTGAGTAGAAATGAATTTGATAGGTGTTGCAGTAAAGGTAAAGTCCTGGTTTTTCATTGTGGCGACACACTTAACCTTCAGAGCTGAAAACGAAGACGTGATCATGCATCCCAACAAATCCCATATGCCAGAACGATTATCTGTGCGGATGAGGGAAATATTATCGTCGTAACATTTTTGGAATTTCGCATGGATGAAGGCCGCCTTGCGAAGATACATTGAGGATTTTCTAGGAAAAATTAAAAAGATCCCCACATCATCAATCAGTCTGATCCCAGTGATGAACCTACTGTCGACCCCCAGAGAAGAAATGAAACTGGATTCGAAAAAAAAGCACAGCAAGCATGCCATAACTGGGCTCGAACTTTTGCCCATAGGCACACCCATAGTTTGCTTGAGGATTACCGAACCAACTTTGACAAAAGTATTTTCCAAATCGAAAACTAACAACTTGATTAACAAGCGAAACCCGATTTTAACCCAACCTTTATCCCGAGATCTTYTGGCCAAAGAGGACTCCTTACCCGTTTTACTAATGCGAACTGCAGTTATACCCTTAGTCTGAAACAGATGACAGATCCAAATGGCGGCCTGGATGATTGAAGAATGAGGTAGCTTGGTAAACATGTCTTTGATATCGAAGGATGCAGTCAACATGATGCCCTTCTCCCGCCTTCCTGCTATCTTATTAACCATGTCAATCATACTTCTGAACATAGACGTAGACTTAATATTAAAATGCAAATTATCAGGAAGATTCCATAGGAGCATATTCACAGCTCGACTTATGATACGGCTAGAACGAACAACCGGATCCGAAAAGGAAGGAGATATAGGCCTCTATCTGGTAATATCCTTATGTTTAGGAATTACATAGCTGCATCCCAACTTCCCTTTCACATTCCATCGTGCAATTTGATCACAATGAAGATTTTCAAAGCACTTCCTACATAAATCCAGAATACATTTTTCATCACGATTGTCTATCACGAACCCAGAGTTACGAATGAATAACTTACCCATAGCTTCAGAGTAAACTACCGGACAACAGACATAAGTGTCCCCGATGTTGTGATCTATGGGCATCACCACCAAACCATCAAGGCTATGCAGCTATTCCACGTCTTCTTGTCCCAAGTGGAGAAAGGAAAAATTAGGTTGAGGTGGACGAAAACATCTAGAGATGGTTCTAAAAGATAGACGAAACTTCGTAGCGTTAGGAATTTTACTCAGACCTGCGTCGATTGCCCTCCGAACATGTCCAATAGAGACATCCTTWGGAGGGACACAAATGTTGTTTGAATTAATAAGAGTGGATGTCATGTGCCGAATTTCAAAGAATCTGAAAGAAACATGACCTTCCTCATTCCGAGGGAGCCCCAACACATTTTTGCAAGAGCAGTCAGTCGAAATTTCCTTGGCAAACCTACGATGGTTATGGATCAATTTCCTAATGGATTTGTTCCGAGTCGAAACAATACGAAGTCCAGAGATAAAAAATTCCACTAGACAATCCGGCTGAACCCGCTTCCGAAGACATTAGTAAATTCAGCAATGACCAATTTATTAATTCTAGAATCATATCAGACCTTAACAACAACCCGAGAAGTACAACCGAACCCCACTTTCTGCGATAACACCGATCCAACAATCCTTTTCAAAATGTCCCTAGTTCGGTTGGTAAAGAAGACTTCGGTGGTGTTATATAGCTTAATAAGATTCCGAATGTCAAAATTCCTAGCAGCGACCTCGTCCACGGCACATGCAATAAAGCCAGTAGGATACACCTTCTCCTACTTTTTCCATCAAAATGTCGACGAACACAAGTGAAATAAAAGATACCACCTAGCAAAAATTTCGATCGTAAAGTCTTCAGAAGGGTAGTTCTCCCATTATGAACAACCGAAGACCATCCAAACATCCTAGAAATTCGACTCCAGGCATCCGTGAAGAACGTACCTGTGACGCTCCGTACAGTAATAACAGTCGTGCCATTGTCCAAGCACTTATTCAACTCCGAAATGAGAGAAAAAACATGACTCGAATTAAGCGGAATTAAGGCACTACCAGAAGAGGTTGTGAAGGTGACTGGTTGATCCAAAACTGAGTACTTCATTCGATAACCTATCTTCCTGTGATATGTTATTCTCTCCCTCCTCCCTCTTCTTCTGCAACCCTGCTTCTTGGTACCAACCCGATAATTGAGAGCGGGGCACCAGTGAAAGATAAGCCTTTCTTCGACCTTTCTAAGCTCATCGGTTGAGGGAAAAAAAAAAAGGAATTGCTACGTACGATGCAGATGCTTTCTTCCTAAACCATTTCAGCAGTTTATGACTACGGACCATCGGACAACCTATAGCAGCCCTGACATGTTCCTGCCATCTGGTGGAGATACCACGGGAAGTGGAGCCAATGTAGACAGCTCGAAAAAAAGGAGACACAAGTAAGTACACACAATGGCCCGTAGGCGAAAAAATATCACAGCCGGAACGAAAAAAATCAGTCCAAATACCAACGAATTTTCCAGCCCACGATAGTTGTCCTAAGCATGCCAACGTAATAATCAAAAATCGCATCCAAGCTTCCAGATCTTCCCAATCTAAACATCTTCTAGTAGGCAGAGCCCGTAAACGGATTGAACGATGAACGTATCCCCAGATACAGGCCGGATCCAAAGATCATCAAGAAGGGTTTTCTTCTTGGATCCCAGCAGCGATGTTGTCCAAACCTTCTTCATCTGATTCCTCACCCTAAGCGTCGCGAGCCCGAGCCTCCGCGAGATCATTAGAAGCTTGCTTCTTGTTGAAATACTTAATACTGTCAGCTTTGCATAGAGATTCTAACTGATACTTAGATTTCGTCATCAGTTCCTTCCTAAGATCCTCCACATATTTCACCCTACCCTCCTTACCGCATGAGGCCACAACAGCTTTCTTCCCCGGGTTGATCCTGTCAAACCTGAGAGGCTCCTCAACAACCGTACGCCTAGCCGGGGAAACTGTTCTTCTACGACCCGCGTTTGCTGCTACGGAAGCGAACATGTCTGCCAAACGAGCAGAAAAACGGTTGCCCGCAGGGGTTCTACTAGCGTCTACTTTGGTGTGGGAGGAAGAAGACGGATCTGCGGAAACAGTGGCGGGTTTTTTAAAGAGTGGGGGTGGGGG